GCAGGAGTCTTTCCTAGAGAATTCTGTGGCAGGAGAAAAAAGGAGACAAACAGTGGAAGCATTCACGCTCTGGACTCTGGAGCCATGCAAAAGTGATGGCTCCAGCCAGAGCCCACGCTGATATGCCAGTGAGCTTAGAGAATTCACTGTGCATGTGGAGCTCTAGCAGGAGCCATGCTGACATGGCTTAATACCAGGCTTAATACTAGGAAAAACTCCTTCACAGTCAGAGTGACCAGATGGTGGAATAAACTCCCTCCAGAGGTGTTGCAGTCACCTACCCTGGAGGTTTTCAAGAGGAGAGTGGACAGTCACCTTGCTGGGGTCACTTGACGCCAGTTGTCTTCCTGCCTGGAGTGGGGGGGCTGGACCCGATGATCTGCAAGGTCCCTTCCAGCCCCTAACATCTATGAATCTATGACTGTATGACATGCCTATGACAAGCGGTTCATATGGGCTTTAAAGGGTGCATCCAGGCTGCAGGCTGTAGATTGAGCAACACTGTTCTAACTAATGTAATGGATACCAGAAAAGCTGTCTCCAACCGCCAAGGAATAAAGATAGCAGATATCCACAGATTCAAAGCAGGTAAGCTATCCATCCAATCAATACAAAATCAAGGTCCCAGGAGGGCAGGAAGTCCCAGACCAGGGGTAAAGTTTGGATGAGTCTTTCAGGAAATTTTGTCACCTGCAATGCAAGATGATGTGACCTTGGATGAGAGGATGATTAGCAGAGGCAATTGTTAGATGTGGTCTGACTGAACTGAAGGACAATACTAATTGCTTTACTCAAAGTAAACAGTCTTATATTGATGAAATTGGAGCTGTTGGTGGAGAAAACTGCTGCTTCACTGCCTAGATAGAAACCTTCTTTCATTTAAAGAAGCCTGGGCTAGTGCTTCCTCTGCAATGGAACACTTAGCATCTGTTGTTGTGATGTTTTGTAAAAAAGGTCCACTCCTGGAAACCCTCATCTGTGAAATATGCTATGGAGCACCATCACACTGAAGGACCACTAGCGATTATACAATCTTTGGTTAAGAGCATCTGGCCCTTGGTGCTGTTGAGAATGCAGGTTTTTTTGCATACAGAAGGCAGTGATCCTACGGCAGACCAGTATAGCCACAGCTGATAGGGCTAGTAAGGCTAGCTGACAGGGCTAGAGGTGGGGGTTACCAAGTGGGATGTTCTATACAGGCCCCTTATGGTATCCCTCAAGGATTCCTCCCTTTGCTCTCTAGCAGACTCCCATGGTAAGACCTATGGAGATGAGGAGCCACATTCTCAGGTGCAGTTTGTCTGAGATCAGTACCAAGTCCATCTGACAGCTGTGGGCAATAAAATGGAATTATGCATGGGCTGCAGTAATTATCTGCTTTATGCTGTCAGGAATGGGACATACAGGAGTCCCAAGGCCACATATAGCACCTCAAAAGATGCAGCTATACAAAAGAATCCCATCTCACAGGTAGGGGGTGCCAGGACACCAAGGGTAGAGCCGGCATTACAATCTCCTAAAGAATCAAGCAAACATTTAATACATTTTGCTTTTTTCAACCTGAAAAGATAGGATGCTTTTCTTGCTATTCTTTTCATAGGTGGTAAACATTATTTCCAAAAGATCATATGGAAAAATTAGGAGGGAGAGGCCTATCATTTTGCCTCTGCTCAATACAGAAAAGCAACTTACTTTAGTAGCTTGATATTGCACATAATAAGCTCCTTCCAATTAACAAAAATCATAGCCACTTCCTTTTCTGTGAGCAGCTCAGATTCTATCAGTGGTTTCTGGAAAATCTGTAGATGAAAAAAATGAATCAATTTAGAAAGTGTAATGTTAAGTATGTTGAAAGCAACTGACTGCTGTTCACAGTTTCAACTTAGAGAGCTGCCAACTTTACACCAGAGAAGCAAGTGATACTGCCTGGAACAGATTTCAAAGGTTCTGCAAGCTTTCCTGATAAGATGCCTGTGAAGAGTGTATCACATTACAAGGTATAATCTAAACTTGACTCAGTGATGTTAATTGCAGACTAGCTAATCTCTATTTTAACCCTTATGAATTTTATTTAGCACTAGTCGTCTCTTGCCAAATACCTCAGTAAACATATAGAGTAATCTACTTTGGTCCCTACTCTACTTTGAAGAAGTCTATTTGGATTTCTGACCCACGGGCTTGAATTCTGATTTATCTGATCACATATCTTGCTTGTATATCTTGCCCACCTAGTGAGAGGAGGCCTTTCCTTCAGTTCAGATCATTTATTTTCAGTGTCCACAGGGCTTCTATTTTCCCTGCATGAAAGAGGCACATAATAATGTTTAAAAATTGGATTTTGGCACTGAAAAGGTGACCACTGAGTGTCACTGCTGAACAATGAGTACAATGAGTTCTAATAGGTTCATAACATCTGTTCTCAACCTTTTTAGACTCAAGGCACCCCTCGGAAAATGCCAGCTTGTAGCTTTCAATTGTTTTTTGAATACAGAAAAATAACAGAGTAATTCTTCTGCTACAAAGAACTCAGAAAGACCACAACAGGTCTTTTGGCAAGGTTAGAATGTTGTTGACACTAGATTCCTATTGGAAATTTCTGGGTTTATCTTATGAATCGTGTAGGTGTTTGTACACCTAACAAGACCAATCTTGCACAGCATCCCACAGTACCTTTACAAGGTTTTCATGGCACCCCAGGTGCCATGGCACACTGATTGTGAATCACTGGTTTATAAGTTAGAAGTTAAAACTCAGGATCAAGAGCAAAAAGCTTGTATTAAAACAGTAGATGTTAATTTTAATGCCCGAATACTGAAAACAGGAAGCTCAACATATTCATAGATACTAAAAATCCCATTCAGTTCTTTCCTACCATGTCAAACATGAGAGGGATTTCAAAGAACTTTATTTGATGAAACTACTGCTCGAGATTGTTTCAAAAAACAAGCGACTAAAGATTGGCTTATGAAGACATGTTTAGAACCTCTGAACAAACAGCCAGACCATCAAAACAGCTGAGTGCCCAGCAGCTCCAATGGGGCCTATATGAGGTGGTTGGTGTTTAATAATTCTGAAAGCCAGCTTAGTCTGTAGGTATCTGGACATGGATTTAAGATCTTAGTATTAGGTACTCACTTTTGAAAACTTCAGCTATTGTTCTTACCTCTGTGACTAACTGCAGATCATTCACATAGTTCTCTTCTGTTACAATAAGTTCATGGATATACCCTTGCCTTTTTCTTTCCGTAGGTGTCAACATATCCAGGAGATGTAAATCTGCACACCCTGGAATACACAAAAGGGACAGAGAATTCACTGGGGGATATTTAGAAACTGAATCAAACTGAAACTGTGGTAGTTCAAATAAGGTTTAAATGATAATCACTGCCTGCTCATTTAAATCAGCAATCATTTACATATATTAGTATAAAACTCTAGTGTTCTATCTTTTCTGTACTTGAACAATCAAAATGCCTCCATAAAAATCACAGTCCTGCTATTGTGTGTTTATTATTTCCCTTTTCCAAATTACAACTAATGAAGAAAAACAAATGAATGAAGACCTGCTTAAAATAAAAGTCCATAGGCTGAAGACTACTGAATTATTAGTTTTGGTGGGTATCATCGCACAAACTGGTTATCACAGAATTGTTCCATGGAAACTGCCCATATGCATGTTCTTACCCTGTGATAAATATAAGCTAACCAGAGCATTTTACTCCTCCTTTACTCCTTTACTGAGGACTAAGCTGCCATGGGCTAGCTTCCACTTACTGCAGGGTAAAAGTCAGCACAAAGGAAATTTAAAACGAAGCATCCTACATGGGATTAGCTCAGGGGCAGGCAATTATTTTGAGCAGAGGGCCACTTACTGAGTTTTGACAAGCCATCGAGGGCCACATGACAGGCAGCCAGGGCCAGATAAATATTAATTTTCTAAATTTTTTAGGAGCCCCGTGGGCCAGACAGAATGGCCTGGCAGGCTGTATCCGGCCCCCAGGCTGCATTTTGCCCACCCCTGGATTAGCCCCACACTCACTGCAAAGCATCTTTATGTTTGTGTGCCCGTGCCATAAGTTTCAGGCACAAGGACAAAAAGTGCTACTGTTGATCTTAACAGTTGTGGCAAGGCATACAACAAACAGAATAATA